TGCTAATCTTGTGGGAGGGAGGTGCCACCTATAAAACATCTTATAGAGGTTTTCCTTATAGGAAGTTGCTAGAGTAATTTTTAGGTTTTTTCCCATAAACTTTGCCAATTATCCAAATCAATATTGTGCCCAAAATATTTACACCAAATTATCATCGTTTCTTTCACCTGTTCTTCAGTCATATCTTGCTCTAATAAATATCGATATGTTTGCTTCTCTGATAAAAAGATGTGGTTTGTTGAAAATGGGATTTTTTCTCTGTAGGATATTTAGAAGGTCCAAAAGTGGGAAGGTAGGTATTGTCTAAGTTCCACATTTTACTTTTCTTTGAAAAACTCATTTTTTTAAAAAAAATGAAATGTCTTTTCATCCTGGCAATCAATTTTCTTCAGAAACAAATTTGGTGCCCTCCAGATCTCCAGGGCTTTGCTTGTTTTTTAGGAATTCTGTAGGTTGTAATTTCCACATTTTGGGAAACAGCCATATGGAGAGAGACGATTGTGGATCTTTCGGATGCCTTGCATATTAAGAATGTTTTATGTTTGTTTTTAAAGATCAGAATGAAGAGCCACAGTTATTTGGACATTCTATGATAACCACATCAATAAGCAGGTGAGATGTGGGAATGTTAGCTGAGTAGCTAACAGTCTAATCTTTCTGGCTGTGTCTGTTGGTTGTATTAATAAAGGAGAATATTTGTAGCTCAGGGTTGACATGCTTGTATTTCTTCGAGTGTTTTACAATATTTGGGGTAAAGCTTTACCACATCAATTGCATTTGCTTCTGATTGGAGGCCTTTTATTTAGTGCAGAAGCTGTTATTTCAGACAGTTTGTGGGGGGAATAAGTGGGAGTGGGACTTTTAAAAGACACAGCTGCTGGACTTCCACACTATCCAATCCATTGATTTAGTGAAGTTTCCAAAACAAAAATCCAAAATCCGCTGGGAATGAGCTTCCTGTTTTCTATGCTTTATTTATTTTAAATTTATTTAATATTATTATTTGTAGTTGTTTTCAGGATTTCTTTGGAAGGTGTTTAGGGAATGTCATGCAACATTCAGGCAGAGGTTGGACTGCCTTCTATTAAGAATGCTTTAATTTGGATGTCTGCATTGGGCATGTTTTGAGTTCTCTGACCTCAGTGGCCCCTTCCACTTTTAATTTTGTGGTTCTTGGGATTTTGGCTTAGGAGGAAAAACTTGTGTTGCTTGATGTTATATGCTACTGCCAGATTGCTGAATAAGCCAGTGAGTTCTTGAATCAGGAGAATTTTTCCTAAGATTCTTGTTCAGTACCCAGGCAAGGACCAAATATATATATAAAACTGTATCTTGCAACACAATACGAATTGAAAGTTGGTATATTTGTAAGAAACTTAGATTGTTGTTTCTGTTATCTCACTCAGTTCAGAAACCTCCAGAACAAATGAAAAAAAGCATTTGTTGGACCAGTCCCCACCTAGGAGGGCCCACCACGCCCAGCCTGATCTGTCCCCTAAAAGAGTGCCTTCAGCAAGGGGCACAAATCGTGTCAAAGGCTCCAGTGGAAGCCAACGGGAATTGTTCTCAGATGAGCGCTGTGCTGGCCAGAAGTATAAGGTGGTGGCGGCAACTGCTGCTGCTGAGGTGTCGTTGCCTTGCAAGAAAGCATCTTGTGCTGAGGGAGATTTGCTGCTGCCGGCCAGTAGTGAGTAACCCTGTGCCAAAGTACCTCACATAGTTTGGGGTGTGAGATGTCCGAATTCCTCAATGAAACCTTGGCCACCATCGGCCATCCTTGGTGATGCATTCTGAAAATGTCTTTTTTTCTTCATGGTTTTTCCAGGCAACTTGCAGTCTCAGCCAACAGCAGCATTGCCAAGGAAGTGGCAAAGACATGATTCTGAATCCAGTTCTGGCTCTTCTCCAACAAGGAGGAGAGCTCAAGCCACCTCAGATTCAGACCTTTCGCCACCACGGGCCACTGGCCGACCAGGCACACGACGACCAAATTATCCTTCCAATCTCTCCCCTCCTAGAAGGAATCGGCACAAATCTTCAGATTCAGACTTATCTCCTCCCCGAAGAGGAGCAGAAGCAAAAAAGAAAGGCCGCAAGTCCAGGAGCCCCTCTACTGTCCTGCCATGTCATCAGGCCTTGGAGTCCAATGGGAGCAGCCAGAGGGTGAGGCTTTGGCTTCCAGCACTCGAGTCGTGCTGGAAGCTGAGGCTGCCGAGAGGCAATAGGCTGTTCCATGAATGAATGATTTATGGGATGTGCCTCTCACACTAATTCCGGCTTGTGTGTTTCTCAGATGCTGTCAGGGGGCAAAGCTGGCTTGGTATCAGCTGATCTGCTGAGAAGGGAGAAGCAGGAATTTAAGAAGCTGGCTGGCAGCAGCAGCAATAGCAGACATCTGGAGGGTAAAAATCTTTTCTACAGATCCTGAAATTGTGTGGCATATCCATAGTGCAGGCCAGGCTTCTGCCCAGCTTCTTCCAGGCAGAATCTGGTCCAGGTGGCCAGTTTGTTGGATGTTCAGGGCAGTAGGTGGACTGATTTTAGATACTTTCACATTGTGTTCCCATTATGAAATCCTGCTGCTCCTTTCTTGGGATTCTGTGGGGGATCAAGTGCTGCCAGTCAAATCCGTTTCTATCCCTCTTCTCTTTTCCCATTGTGGTTTTGCTGTTGCTGCAAGAATCTGTGGTGGAAGAAAATGAGGGACAGACACCTCCACCTGGAAGCTTCCTTAACTGTGTGGTTGGTTTTGAATCTTCTGCTATATCCGTTTCCCCTTCAGATGAATCTCGGCATGCGAAGACGGTTTTCCGGGATGAGATGGGCCGTAAGAGGGACCTGAAGCAGGAGCGGCTAGAGCAGCACAAGAGAGCCGAAGAGACGTCTGAGCGAGACGAGCAGTACGCCAAGTGGGGGAGAGGGTGAGTTTCTGCCCTCCAGCATGGGGGCCCTGGGAAAAAGGCCTTAAGGGCCTTCCGGCCAGTGTTGGCTTCCGGCAGGGTAGCGGGTCGTAGAATCTCAAGGTGGGGTTTTTGCAAGGACCTGCCACTTAACTGTCCTTTGGCGGAGGGCCTGAAGGGGGACTTGAGGCTTCCTGTATGCAGGTGTGCTCTCTTACTAAGCTGTGGCCCACAACTATGTTGTGCAGCGGTTTTGAGAGGGGTGACGTTCTATGTCTTCTATCGCCTCCTGATGTGTAGCCTGTGTCTTTTCCAGCCTGGCACAGAGCAGACAGCAGCAGCAAAAGGTGGAGGATGCAGTGAAGGAAATGCAGAAGCCGCTGGCGAGGTACATCGATGACGAGGACTTGGATCAGATGCTGCGGGAGCAGGAGCGAGAAGGAGACCCGATGGCCGACTTCATGAGGAAGAAGAAGGCCAAGGAGAGGCCAGGTACCAAAGGTCAGTACTCGCAGCCTCAGTCTGGCAACCGAGGGGGGGGGGGAATTGGAGGAGGGAAAACTATCAAAAGGAGCAGCGAGCGAAGAAATAATGACTGAAAGGTTTTCGGGAAGAAGGTCTGGGTGTAGCAGTGGAAAATCACAGCAATTTGTTGCATTCCATTTTAAGGGAACGGGTGGCAGACGTCTAAAAGAGGCGGATGCAGAAAAAGACATTTGTTAATTTAATCACATTTTTTGCTCCCTGGTTGCTTTTTCTAGCTTGCCGCAGTGATGTCTGCCTCTTGCATACTCTGCAAGTCACTGCTTCTTTAGAGGCATCTAATATTATCAGTAAACCATCTGTAATACTTCTCTGTATCTTGGGTCTGTGCTAAAATGGCTTTCTTTAAGGGAAAAAAAAAGAATGAGCTTCCATTGTTTGTTTCCTCCGTTTTCCTCCAGAAAAGCCAAAGTATAATGGGCCAGCACCCCCACTGAACAGGTTTAACATCTGGCCAGGCTATCGCTGGGACGGAGTAGATAGGTAAGTCGCTCTTTCTGGGAGTAGCCAAAACGGGGACCACTCAGTTCTGTGTCCCAAAGACCAGTAGGAAGGATCCAGGCCTTTGCTGGCAGTGTTGACTTATGGCTACAGGTTTTTTTTCTTAAGGTACAGCCTTGCCTTAACAATCCTAACCCTGGAAGCACTGGCTGGGTATGTTGCTGTACATAAACAGGGAGCAAATCCTTCACTCACTAGCACTGATGATGTTATCTAGTTGGGCAATACAATGTCTGCACGCAAACCACCAAGGACTCCACAATACAGCCTTACATTCCTTTGATCTTTCCTCCAGGAACCTAAGAGGCAGAAGGTCCTCTGTGCCGTTCTAGGAGGGCCCCTCTAGGTGGGAGTTGCCTTCTCTCCCCTCTGTATTAATTTGGTACCTGGAAGGTGCTGATGCTGTCATACAAGCGATCTAGTTTCCCCCAAAACTTTGCATCACCCAGAGCTGATGATGCTCCTGTCTAGCAGTGTTGCCTTTTGCTTCTGCAGGTCCAATGGCTTTGAGAAGAAGCGCTTTGCGAGAATAGCAAGTAAAAAAGCGACACAGGAACTCGCATACAAGTGGAGCGTGGAGGACATGTGAGCACCCGGGCCAAACTGGGACAAAGATTTTTAAAGGCTCCTGCGGAAGCAAGGATACTTCCTACCCACCAGAGTTCACCACCTGGAATCCGCAGGAGAACCCCTGTGCCCAGTGCAGCTTAATAGGAGCCCTGGAACGTGGAGGGTGTTTGAAGGAGCCCTATGAGCTGTTGGAAGGGAGACTCTGGAAGGTTGGTCCAGCCAAAAGGCAGAAGTTGCAGGGCGGCTGGTCATTGCCCCCTTGTCCCAGTTGCCAGGTATTTTGGGGAGGGAGGGGCCCAGAGAAGATACGGCTCTTGTCCTCAGTTCTCCGGGTCTCCCTGGATCCACTGAATAGTTCGATTGTGGGGCTTTCCTAGTGTGAAGCATCACCTTTCGGTCTCTTGGGAACATGTAACAGGGCATCCCTGGAGCAGGGAATCATTGAGTTCTCCCTAAAGGACTTGCTGGAATGATGAAATTTGGCTGTCATCTCCTTTTTGGCCAAACCAGCAGTTATCTCACTGCTTCTGTAGCGTAAATCCGGGAGGCTGTTCTGGGGGTCCCTGCAAGCTACAGAGGAGCGCCAGGGTGTTTATAGAGAAAGCAGGCTCTGCAGAGGTGCAGGGCTCTTCACAGATTTTCAGTACTTGCTGCAATTTAAGTGTACAGTTTGTAAATAACAGGTTTCTTTTTTCCTAATTCTGCGCCTGTGTTTGTTCTCTTGTTACTACTGTGTCGGTAGCAGGAAATGAAGGAAGTGGGCTCTGTTGACGTGTGTTTAGGATACATCTTCCTTTCTATGTGAATGGAAGCAGCTGTCAGACCCCCAAACCCCTCGCCTGTTCTCTTTTGTCTTCTATTCTTTTGGGGCCCGCCATTCTGTTGGGGGAGCCTTTCTTTGTTTGCAGATGAACAAACTTGAGAGAACTTCTAGTCAACATTTGACATGTTACTGTTGGCCTGTTCTTGTTGCTGTGTGAGGGGCTTTTTCTGGGAAGCTGTTGTTGGATGAAGTTTGCCACTGTCAGGCAGGGAGTGGGCTGGGTCTGTAGGAGAGCTGCTGTGTTCTAAACTGCTTTGGGGGCCTGTGCTATGCTGAACTTTTAGCTGCCTCTCTTTCAGTTCTGATTCAAACCTCTTTCCCTCAGCTGCTTCCTGCAGTTGGTTGTACAGTACTTTGATCTCAGCCCCCTTCTCCTTTTAACAAGCAGGACAACAGGCTGCAGAAGAGGTCGAGCATCGTGTCGTCAATATGGACTGAAACCCTCAGCTAGCAGGAGACAGTGGCCGACCCAGGAGGGCCATCTGTCTGGCACAGAGATAACAGAGGAAGGGGCAGGAATGGAGGAGAAGGCCAGGAGTGGGGCGGGGGCTTCTGGATGGGATGCAGGGGGGTGGGGGAGATGACTTGAAGGGAATCCAGAGCTGCTCTGCAACTCACCCAGCATTGCAGGGACCCTCTGGAAAGCTTGGGGTCTCCATACGGGGTGGAGAGGAAGGTGGCAGAAGCCTGGAGCTGGCTGGGTTCCCCTGAATGGAAAGGCCCGTCCTTTGGACAGCACGCAGAGGAGGGAATGCTGGTCATGAAGGTCCCTTCCTTGTCCTGCTAGGTGGAATTGCTCCAGGGGAGCCAGATGGCAGATTGGCCCAAAGCATTCTGGAACTGCTGCTTCTGTTTTCTTCTTGGCTGCTAAAACGTCTCACTTCGATGTTTCTTTCTTTCTTTCTTTCTTTCTTTCTTTCTTTCTTTCTTTCTTTCTTTCTTTCTTTCTTTCTTTCTTTCTTTCTTTCTTTCTCTTTCTTTCTTTCTTTCTTTCTTTCTTTCTCTTTCTTTCTCTCTCTCTCTCTTTCCTTCCTTCCTTCCTTCCCGATGTTGCCATGCTGGCCTTGGGCTGCATTGTGCTGCAGGGAGGGGCTGTGAGCCTGAGAGTTGCTGTTTGACTCTGCCTGCAGCTTTAGGTCCAGGGCTGAGGTGAGGTGGGGATCAATTTGGGGCATTTGCGGGCACCAGAAAGGCGCCACAGCAGCAGCCTTGTTCCTGAGTTTATGGGCCAAGGGAGAGAATTTTTTAGGTGAATGGATGAAGCTCAACACCATTCTGCTTTTTTTATAATAATAATAATAATAATAATAATAATAATAATAATAATAATAATAATAAAGTTGGAAGGGACCTTGGAGGTCATCTAGTCCAACCCCCTGGTCAGGCAGGAAACCCTATACCATTTCGGACAGGCTGTCCAGTCTCTTCTTAAAAACTTCCAGTGTTGGCGCATTCACCGCTTCTGGAGGCAGGTTGTTCCACTGTTTAATTGTTCTAACTGTCAGGAAGTTTCTCCTTAGTTCTAGGTTGCTTCTCTCCTTGCTTAGTTTCACCTTCAAGAGCCTTTGAAAATAGCTTGACTCCCTCTTCTTTGGGGCAGCCCCTGAGATATTGGAAGACTGCTATCATGTCCCCCCTCGTCCTTCTCTTTGTTAAACTAGACATCCCCAATTCCAGCAGCCTTTCCTTATATGCTTTAGCCTCCAGTCCACTAATCATCTTTGTTGCTCTTCTCTGTACTCTTTCTTTTGAGATGTGAGATGCGAAACAACATAGGAACACTGCGCAGGGATTATGCCGTATGTGCACATCCTTGCACATCGGCACGTACTCGGGAGTGGCAATGTTCCTGTTTAAAGGAGTGTTTTCCCGAAGAGCCTGGAAGGGGGGGGCTTTGACCCTGTGCCCCATGACTATGCATTTGGGGGGGTGTCTCCCATCGATGTCTGTTGGGAGTGTGGTGGGAGCTCCAGAGCAAGAGGAGAGCCAGAAGGGTCCTTGGCTTCAGAAGGGTCCTTGGCTGGGTGGTGGCATGTCTCCTGCTGCTGCTGCTGAGACAACGGCATCCATTGGGGGAATGGCCCAGTAACATGGGTCAACTTGGATTAGCTGTAGCCACAGGAAAGGGGAGATGTGGAGACCCTATTTAAGCTTTTGTCATGGCCAACCCGAGCAAGCTAATCTTTAGGCAAATAAGGCAGATAGGAAAATGGGTAATAATTGGACAGTTTACACATTATTGTAAACCTTCTTTGTGTATTATTTGTTTGCAGAGCACGGTGTGGGTGGGGTCTGGTGCAGTTGGCTTTGCTGTCCAGCTTGCCTTGTTAGCATGGTTTAATTAGGGATTGGAGAGAAAGTGGAAGCAGCGAGGCAGGAAGGCCTTGGGCCTACTTGCAGGAAGGACCTGGAAATTGAAAGGAAGGGCTGGCCCACACTGGCCAAGCCCTTCCAAAGAAAGTGGAACGCTGCAGGGGCTGTCCTTTGCCCTCCAGTTGAAACTCTGGAGAATGTGGGGAGGAGGGAAGGGGGGTGTTTAGCACTGTGGCTGGTGGCAGCTGCTCTGGCTTTCTTCCAGGGCAGCGAGAGGGGCTGCGCTGCCGCCTCATTGTCTGGGCCTGGGCTGCCCTCCTGCAGGGTCAGCTGCTTCTGTGAAGGGAGATACCTGGCCTGGCTGTTTAGCTGTTAATTACCCCCCTTCCATTGTTTTATATTTTTGACAGGAAGCCGGACGATGATAATAAGTTTAAACTGGGTAATAAGCTTACATGGTACATTATGCATGTCAAGGACAAGCAATTAAGCCTGGCCTTGCACATAATAATTAGATTTTTCTTGATGAGCTCATTGGTAATGTATTTAGTTAAGATTAAGGGCTTAGCTTTCAGTGTGCACAGTAGCCCCCCATCTTCTTCACCCCCATTCAGCAGAAACAGGCTGGACAGGTAGAGCAAGAGGTAGATGCAGAGTTGGACCAGAGTTTCTTCCACCGCTTGCTTGGCCGTGACCAGCTCTCCTCCTGGGTAGGAAGATAACTGGAGGGATTTGCTACTCCCCTGCTTTGCACCAGGCATCGGAGCCCCTGTCTGGAAGGGAAAAGGTGTAGCATTTGGAAGTCATATTTAAAGGAAAAGCTGGGGGTGAACTATAATTCCCAGCCATCCACGTGGCCTGGGCATCCTGGGAACTGGAGTCAGGGCACCTCTGGAGGACACCTGGGCAAGGGAGGCAGATGCTCATGTTGTTCTGATATGGGCCAGTGTCTGTGGCGTGCCCTGAGCCCTCCTGCACTGCTCTGCATGGGTGCCCAGGTTGCCCATGGTCACAAGGACTGGGGTTGCCCTGGAGGAGGGGAATATGCACAGTTACCTCTTACTGGCCTTTGCACTAAATCTGTGGTGCAGGCGCCCAGCTCCACTGCCCTGTCCTGTTTGGCAGGGTCTCCTCTCCCACTTCTGTTTTTGGGGTGGCCAAAGGCACTGCTCAGGGAAAGCTACCAGCTGGGGCTTTAATTAACAACTGTGGTGCTTTTCTGTTCTTTAATGAATGTATCTTGTTTTAACTCCAGAGGTCTAGAATTTTAAAGCACAGAGTCACAAAGGGAAAAAATACTAAAATCCCAGCGGTACAACATCAGGGATGAAAGGGCTTTAAAAATGCTATTATTATTATTATTATTATTATTATTATTATTATTATTA